AGTGTCGTATGATTGCGTCAATACTGTCGTGATGTCGCGTTATGAAAAGGGCGAGATTTAACATGGCCACTATCAACCACCATAAACAGCAGTATATATCATCAAAAATTTTATTTTGTAAGAGTACACATTTGGTGAAAGGTGTTTTCATATTTGATTGATTAAAGGACCTAAGTCCGTAACTCAAAATCCTCCAAAATCTTCGACATCGAAAACACGAATTATTGGTCAATTTAAATCAAAATTGATGATGTAAACTTACCGGGAAAAGATGAGCTTCTGATATCCGATATTTAAGATAAAATAATTTTTTTAACATTGGTACACGAATCGTGTACCATAATGCGCTTCAGCCCCAGTTGTATTGAGATACTCGAGGGACGAGGCTAGACACATTGCACCAAATCAAATGGAGTTATGTAGACTAGAATAACTAGACGCTAGAAATTTGCACTCGATTGAGATTGCTGATTTACTTCGGCGAACATGACTGATTTGAAATTGGTTTAAAAACGGAAACCATTAAATGTAAATCAGTTTATATACATTCATATTACAGTATTATATGCGTTGCGACCCACTTTTGTGAATTTCTAGGTCCCAAATGTTAGCGATTTAGCTCCTTTAATTGGCATTATATTGCATATTATGGTATATTCCAATGTAGAGTACTGAGACCGAACACAATTTGGCGACCTATTCGGCTAGCGACCTATTCGACCGATCCAGCTGGCAACCTGTTCGTAGGCAACCTATTCATAATAAATTCAACAGTCGTCTAAACTCATCTATTTTTATCAACCAATCAAATCCAAAGTTACGTCTATCAAATGAAAGTAGAATATATTATTATTTATCCATTCCTTTAGCTCAGAATAGAGATGTATTTTCGCATTATCTTACAAAATTCTGGACATCCAACTAAATATATTCCGAAAGGTAAATAAATAAGTTTTCCAAATATTATTAGTAAAAGTTGGCACAGTCATATTAAAGGGATGCACTCTCATCCTAAACATGGTCAATTTTGAAAAAAAAATTAAAGGGAAAGACTGTTAATGTTAATACCCCGTGCCAAAATTCGGACCATCGTACAAAATTCTGATGATCCAACTAAATATATTCTAAAAGGTAATTGGATAAGCTTTCCAAATATTATTAGTAAAAGTTGGCACAATCATATTAAAGGGGCGCGCTCTCAACCTGAACATAGCCAATTTTTCAATATTCTAAATGTAAAGCTAGACCTTACTAATAATATTTGGAAAGCTTATTCAAATATCTTTCAGAATATATATAGCTGGATGCTCAGAATTTTGTACGATGGTCCGTATTTTGACTCGGAATACTACTGTTCTTTCACTTTAAAATATTGAAAAATTGGCGACGTTTAGGATGAGAGCGCACCCCTTTAATATGATTGTGCCATATTTTACTAAGTATATTTGAAAAGTTTATTCAATTACCTTTCAGAATATATATAGCTGGATGCTCAGAATTGTGTACGATGATCCGAATTGGGACTTCGAAAAAAATACCGGCCTATCTTTGCATTTAGAATATTGAAAAATTGACTATGTTCAGGTTGAGAACGCACCCCTTTAATATGATTGTGCCAACTTTTACTAATAATATTTGGAAAGCTTTTTCAATTACCTTTCAGAATATATATAGCTAGATGCTCAGAATTTTGTACGATGGTCCGAATTTTGACTCGGAATATTACCGTTCTTTCACTTTAAAATATTTAAAAATTGTCGACGTTTAGGATGAGAGCGCACCCCTTTAATATGATTGTGCCATATTTTACTAAGTATATTTGAAAAGCTTATTCAATTACCTTTCAGAATATATATAGCTAGATGCTCAGAATTTTGTACGATGGTCCGAATTTTGACTCGGAATATTACCGTTCTTTCACTTTAAAATATTGAAAAATTGGCGACGTTTAGGATGAGAGCGCACCCCTTTAATATGATTGTGCCATATTTTACTAAGTATATTTGAAAAGCTTATTCAATTACCTTTCAGAATATATATTGTGCCAAATTTTACTAATAATATTTAGAAAGCTTATTCAATTACTGTTCAGAATATATATAGCTAGATGCTCAGAATTTTGTACGATGATCCGAATTTGGACTTCGAATAAAATACAGGTCTATCTTTACATTTAGAATATTGAAAAATTGGCTTTATTGAGGTTGAGAGCGCGTCCCTTTAATATGATTGTGCCAACTTTTACTAATAATATTTGGAAAGCTTATTCAATTATCTTTCAGAATATATATAGCTGAATGCTCAGAATTTTATACGATGATCTGAATTTCGACTTCGAAAAAAATACCGGCCTATCTTTGCATTTAGAATATTGAAAAATTGGCTATATTCAGGTTGAGAGCGCGCCCCTTTAATATGATTGTGCCAACTTTTACTAATAATATTTGAAAGCTTATTCAAATATCTTTCAGAATATATATAGCTGGATGCTCAGAATTTTGTACGATGGTCCGTATTTTGACTCGGAATACTACTGTTCTTTCACTTTAAAATATTGAAAAATTGGCGAAGTTTAGGATGAGAGCGCACCCCTTTAATATGATTGTGCCAACTTTTACTAATATTATTTAGAAAGCTTATTCAATTATCTTTCAGAATATATATAGCTGGATGCTCAGAATTGTGTACGATGATCCGAATTGGGACTTCGAAAAAATACAGGTCTATCTTTACATTTAGAATATTGAAAAATTGGCTATGTTCAGGTTGAGAGCGCGCTCCTTTAATATGATTGTGCCAACTTTTACTAATATTATTTGGAAAGCTTATCCAATTACCTTTCAGAATACCTTTCCAATTACCTTTCAGAATATATATAGCTGGATGCTCAGAATTTTGTACGATGGTTCTAATTTTGACTCGGAATATTACCGTTCTTTCACTTTAAAAATATTGAAAAATAGGCGACGTTTAGGACGAGAGCGCACCCCATTAATATGATTGTGCCAACTTTTACTAATAATATTTAGAAAGCTTATTCAATTACCTCTCAGAATATATATAGCCCAATGCTCATAATTTTGTACGATGATCCGAATTTTGACTCGGAATATTACCGTTCTTTCACTTTAAAATATAGAAAAATGTTCAGGTTGAGAGCGCACCCCTTTAGTATGATTGTGCCAACTTTTACTAATAAGATTTGGAAAGCTTATTCAATTACCTTTTAGAATATATTTAGTTGGATCATCAGAATTTTGTACGATGGTCCGAATTTTGACACGGGGTATTAACATTAACAGTCTTTCCCTTTAATTTTTTTTTCAAAATTGGCCATGTTTAGGATGAGAGTGCATCCCTTTAATATGACTGTGCCAACTTTTACTAATAATATTTGGAAAGCTTATTTATTTACCTTTCGGAATATATTTAGTTGGACGTCCAGAATTTTGTAAGATAATGCAAAAATACATCTCTATTCTGAGCTAAAGGAATGGATAAATAATAATATATTCTACTTTCATTTGATAGACGTAACGTTGGATTTGATTGGTTGATAAAAATAGATGAGTTTGGGCGACTGTTGAATTTATTCAGAATAGGTTGCCAACTGGATCGGTCGAATAGGTCGCTAGCCGAATAGGTCGCCAAATTGTGTTCGGTAGTACTGGGTACTGTAGGCCTATAGAAAGTAGATCTATAGGTATACTTCTTTAGGCCATCTAACTTATGATAATATGACCTCTCGCTCTAACTTGTCTAAGCTAAATCAAATCAAGGTAATTTCGGGACTAACATGGTTCAGTTTTATTTCGATAATTCAATTGATGGGTCTTTTTTTTTTAGCAGTGACTGAGTGAGAGGAGACTGGAGCACCCGGAGAAAACCCACGAGGTTGGACAGGCAACCCTACACCTGTCGCGTACAAGCGGGGAATCGAAACCACGCCACTTGAATCCACGGCATGTCATAGTCTTAGGTCTAATAAACGTATTAATATCAGGTAATTTAAATTGTAGATCTTTTTTTAGTAGTTGCGCTTTTGCGGGACAAGAACTAGTTGCGCTTCGATGTAAACCAACTCATTCCTTGCATTCTTTATCGCATGCTATCTAGTATTTTCGTAATTTTAGAATTACATGTAGTTGTGATTTTTAAAGGATAAAATTTTAAATCGTAGGCTAAGCTTTACCCATTAAGTCTGTAGTTGCACATGTTCTTTTTACATTATTTTGTGTATCGAAAAATGTGATTCTATGTTAATGTAGGTCTACAATTACTTGTGGTAAACAATTTAAGTGTTAAGTATACCTTTCCAAATTTCATAACAAAAATATTATTTTGCTCAATTTTCAGTTGCAATAAGCTTTTAATACAGTAAGCCTAATACTGTTATGCTATTCAAAATCACATTTCCCCTTTTACTGGTAGGCCTTAATCCGACCAATAAAATATTTACTGAAGCACTGTCACTTATTTTAAACCATTCAGTAATTCAAAATAATTTTAATTTACTCTGTCATTATCTAGTAATAGTATGCTGTATGGTTAACTTCAGTTTTCATGGCAGATAAGTCCATAAGTACACAGTATAAACTAAATTTTCTATTTCTAAATAATCAGTTGACAAAAAAAATCACAAAAATAAAAGTATCTGAACACAGATCAGACCTAATGTCATGGATATCTAGAGCAAACTTCAGATTTATAATAATTTAATATATTCTTGTGTAGTTGTGTAAAATGGATAATTTCATGGTATAGGGGGCCTATAAAGTCCGTCAAAACATTACATGACACCCAGAGCAATATGCAAAGTATTCATTCTAAAGTTGTTTTTGGTTTATACTTGTTTGTAAAAAGAGAAACCAATCAACTCAAATAATGTTTATTGAAAAAATTTATAGGCCTATTTCAAATAGAATTTTAATATCGTTAATTATTATTTATTTTTTTTTTAAAAAAATGAAAGCCTACATTAATTAATAGAACAAAAATCATAAAAGCACACAGTGAGTCAACGTTGGGCCAAAGGTATTTTATCTTGGAAAACAACCAACGGCTCAAATCTGTTTATTGGAAAACATTATATGCCTATTTGAAATTCGATTTTAATATTTTTAAATTATTTTTTTATATTTTAATGAAAGCTTACTTTATTAACATAACATAAATACGAAAATCACACAGTAATAACCTCTAGAAGACAAAGGTAAACCATGTTGATGTTGAGTAAAATAGGCCTTATCCAAAAAAGGGCGGGGCACTTTGACATTTTCAAATGGTCCATTTTAAGGTGTATGGAAATTACATTTCAAATCTGGGAATTGAAACAACAAGTATTTGGTGGATTAGTTTTAAAGTTAATAAAAACTTTTTAAAATCGACAATAATTTACGGCCTTATAGACAAATTCATAAACTGTCACAAATGCCGTCTCTCACTTCATTCCGGGCTGTACCACGCTTTATCTATGCATGTTTTAAAAATATGAATCATGTTTTATAAATTTCCGAAAAACACATACAACTAACGTACGTATGATTGTATGTGATAATTCTCGGTAGTTTTGTTACCGAAAATACTATAAAACTACGAAATTAAAGAGATTTAGTTTATCGATATTATAGATATCGTAACGTCGTTGAGCGAACTGTCTGTGTGTGTTTATGACAGACAATTCCCAAGATGCATTGCGCGTCGCTGTGTTACTATGGGCCGTAATGTATGGAAGCCTATTGCGGCCATTTCAGAATCTCGTCTTCTCGCCGCGAGAAGACGAGAACACAAGGAAATAGGGCGAGAATACGAGGATCTCGCCCCGAGAACATGAGATTACTTTCACCTCGACTTCTCGTGTTCTCGTCCCTCGACTTCTCGCTCCCTCGTGTTCTCGCCTTTGAAAAACCTCGTGTTCTCGCACTCTCGCCCTCTCGTGTTCTCGCCTTTGAAAAACCTTGTGTTCTCGTTCCCTCGCCTTTGGGCTAATCTCGTCTTCTCGTGTTCTAGCTCCCTCACTTCGTCACAATCTCGACTTCTCGTGTTCTCGCCTCGGAAGTGCAGTTTATACGCATGTCCACTGACTACCGTATCGGCATTTATATTTGGAAATGTATGAAGGTCTAGAAAATTTAATAGTCCTAAACCATTTTAATCTCTTCTTGCACAGATAATATTGTATTCTGTAATCGATTTTAAAAGGCTTCGGTCGAATCTTTCTTTGCCCTCTAACTTCATCAACCTTCATCGGGTTTTTTGATGCGTGGTCTTGTCAGTGTTGTAGAATGTAGAGTCTGACAAGGGACAAGGCATAGTCGTTCGAATGGGATTTAAAAAAATGAGGTCCCGTGCCTGTAATCAAAATAAAGTTGGTTCTACAGTGGCCCAGTGAGTAGGACGTTTGCTCTCTAACTTCATCAAAGTTCGTCGTAATTTTCTGGCGATGTCCACCCTAGGACGGAGGGCCTGAGAAGGGACAACGTATAGCGTTAGGGAATACAAATAACCGAGATACCGTGTCCGGAATCTAAATGAAGCGTGAGCTACGATGACTCAGTGAGTAGGACGTTTGCTCTCTTACTTCATCAAAGTTCTCATTTTTCGGTCGTGGTTCCGGCTTGTCAGTGGTATAGTCGTTCGAATGGTATAAATAAAAAACGAGATTCCTTGTCCGAAATCGAATGAAGTGAGGGCTACGGTGGCTCAGTGAGTAGCACGTTTGCTCTCTAACTTCATCAAAGTTCATCGTGATTTTGCTGGGTATGTCCACCCTTGTCAGTGGCGTAGGACGAAGCGTCTGGCAAGAAACAATGAACCGAGCTCCCATGTCGTGAATCTAAATGAAGTAGGAGCTACGGTGGGTCAGTGAGTGGGACGTTTGCACTCTTACTTCACTTCAGTGGAGTAGGAGGAAAGCCCTGGCAAGGGACCGCGTACACTGTAAGCGTTTTCTGTAATTTTTACAATTTTATTGTTTCTGTAAAACGGCTACAGCGCAGTTCTGTTATCCTGATAACAGACACAAGTCTGTAAATATTTGAGAAGTCGAAATTTCTCCCGTAAATATGACATACGGGTGCTTAAATTAGAGTGACGTCATCGGTCTTCCTGGGTGCCATTACTGCGAATACCGTTAGTTAGAGGCAAAGAGGAATCCCACTGCTGGCTCTGCATCGAGCACAATAGTTGAACCATAGATGGTATAGTTCTATGGTTGAACACTACAGTCAATACCCAACATTGCAGTTTTAGGTAAGTAATGATTATATAGTAGGCACACATCTTTGTTTCATACAGATTGATTCTTGACATTCGTAAAAATGTACGGGGTAACTGATTTTTGACAAATGGACATACTGCTAGTGCTACTGCTACTGCTAGTGCTAGGCCTAATATTTTTTAGCATTGTTTCTGGAGGCTTCAGTTCTAGTTGAGGCTACTCGGATGACATAACCCATTCAAACTCATTGATAAAAATAAATATATGAACTATATGAAGGGCTAACATTTCTGGGCTTCATGTCCATGTCTATTATCTTTATCTTAGTAGCCAGGACTACAGCTGAAAACCATCATTATTAATAATAATAAGCATTAAGAATTTATATTGAGGGAATTGTCAATGTCTGGATAATAAGATCTTTAATTTTTCATTTTACTATTTTTTTAGGCACAACTTATTGCATCTTTGAGTGCCATTCCTGTCATCTATTGAGTAGCCTACCCAGCCTTTCTCTGCCTGGGTTACTGAAATTTTTTCAAAGGTAAAAGAAAAATTACAAGATTGAAGATAATAATTTGGGGAATTGAGCACATCAACAACATTGTCAGTGAAAACCAACACTTCCTGCCCTCTGCTTGGACCTTGAAATTTGAGAGGGTGGTTGGATGAATGGTCTAACCATGGAGCATATTATATAAGGTTCATGGTCTAACAACATGGGCCTTAGTTAGGTCAGAATGTATGTCTTTGAGTCAAGTGGCGTGGAAAGGAGTAAAATTGCCTGACTAACCTTGTTCGGTTTTTTCTGGGTCTTTCGTTTTCCTCCGACTGTTTATAAATACCTATGGTTTAAAGTGAATTATTGATATAAAATTCTACATGTTATATATTATTAGTCCAAAAATGACCCCATTTCTCTCCCTTGGGGTGGGTCCTATTAGCAACAGGTGAATCCCATTTTAATCTGGTTTTACCTGTCATAGGTGCAGAGTCGCCAGTGGTTTGTCCAAAAATCTGATCAGAAACCCAAGATGCGGTAATGAGAGAAGATTAGAAAGCGTGGGTTTTAACCCACGATAAAACGATGGGTGTTGCTTTAGCGAATACCAATATGATCAGAGAAGTTCAACCTAACTTAAAAGTAAAGGAGCTAAATCTGTATTCTTTGGCACCTAGAAATGAACACAAATAGGTCGCAAAGCAATAATGTAAAATGATTGTATATATAATCTGATTTACATTCAGTTGTTACTCTTTTTAGTGTAATTTCTAATCAGTTATGCTCGGCAAAATATGCAAAGTGTCCAAATTGAATGGCAGTCATTGGTGTCTGGTTATTCCAGTCTACACTGGTAGTATTCTCCTGTGTGGTATGTTTAGTCTCCTGTTTGTGGACATGAAACTTCATTTTCTTGCACATTTAGCTCCCTTTTCCTTAATTAAAATGTGTTCTTTTGAAATGGATGTCATAAAGAAAAAACCTGATTGAGAATATTTGTTTTGCAGGTGCATTTTTGAAATAAACCCAGATAACGGACAGAAATCATGAAAAAGAGGAAGACTCAAGTGTGCCAAAAAGTGATATAACTAATTACTGAACCTTCAAATTTTGAATGGATGAAGTATGGTTGCAGCAATATACTGGTACCGTGAGATGGTATACGGTGGTTTAGATGTCACATTTCGGGTCAAAGTGTTTTAAATCCTGTACCACGGTTCGGTTAACATGGTACAGATATTTTAACTGTCCGTTTTCTACGGCGAACCACAAATCACGGACATGCGAACATTTTGAATTAAAAACGTCAGATGGAAAAGCCGTGACTAATAATGTGACAGTGTGTCGCCATTGTTTTGTTGACATTTCTTACAGAACTGGAAACACGTCCAAGAAGAAATACTGTGATATGTATCGTTGCAAACCACACATAGTGTGGATAAAATTGGGGATAAGGGACCGAGCCACGGCCCTTTTATGAGTGGTACTTTGTAAATGAGGCTTTAAAAACACTGCAAGAAATCTTTTTAATGAATCTTCTTAATTAAACTTGATCTTATTTTACTTTTGATGAGATGTCAGTTTACTTTGATGGAAATATCTGTTAGTCATCTAGTTTGTCCATCCACAATTTGGTACATTTGTAAAATCTTTGTAATGAATTTTCTTAATTAAACTTGATCTTCTTATTGTACTTTTAATAAGATGTCCGTTTACTTTAATGGAAAAATCTGTTGGTCATTTAGTTTGTCCATTCACAATTTGGTATATTTGTAAAATTATCCTCCTCGAAAATCCTAAAAAATTGTGGGATCATTTTAAGAAACTTGGACCTAAAAGGAGTAAGTCAATACCCTTCGAAGTCTATAATGACAACGGTGATATCATTTTTGATAAAGATGAAGTTTTGAATAAATGGGCCTCTGATTTCTCAAAAGTATACAGCCCCTCAACAAATAGTGAATTCAATAGTGATTTCCATGAGCAAGTCGTCAAAATAAAATGTGAATTAGAACGCCGTATGCAGGATGACTCATTTCATTCTAATGATCATCTTAACAGTGACATCACTGCGAATGAACTAGATATTGTTATAATAAAAGCTGAAAATGGAAAATCATGTGGAAACGACAAACTACCGTATGAAGTATTGAGGTACGCACGTGTTAAAAATGTTCTACTCCGCCTATTTCAACTATGTCTAAACACAGGATATGTCCCATCCGCATGGAAGACAGCGATATTATCCCCCATCCCGAAGGACTCGTCAAAGGACCCCCGCATTCCAACAAACTATCGAAGCATAAACCTTTTATCATGTGTAAGCAAACTGTATTCGTCTCTCTTAAATATACGTCTTGTATCTTTTCTCGAGGACAATAATGTTATAGTCGAAGAACAAAACGGTTTCAGACCACACCGGTCGTGTCTAGATCATGTATTCGTAACGAACTCTATCGTTCGAACACGGATATTAAATAAACAGCATTCGTTTTCCGCATTCATTGATTTTCAAAAAGCTCTTGATTGTATTGACAGAGAGTCGTTGTTCTATAAGCTCCTTATTAATAATGTTGACGGTAATTTCTACAATTCGATTAAATCTATGTACACAAACACCTCATCATATGTGAGGATAAATAGTCAGACATCAGTTTCGTTTCCCTGTTCATCTGGAGTTCGTCAAGGTGATAATTTATCGCCAACATTATTTAATTTGTACATTAACGATTTGGCAAGAGGTCTAAACGAGCTTAATAAAGGCATTGATATTGGTGGTCGAAAAGTTTGTGTTTTACTCTATGCCGATGATATTATTTTGCTAGCACCCACGGAATCGGATCTACAAACGATGCTCGATTATACAGCTGAGTGGTGTAAAAAGTGGAGGTTGTCCATTAATAACTCTAAAACAAATATAGTTCATTTTAGACCAAAAAGGAAACCAAAGAGTACGTCCCAATTTCAATTCGGTACACAAAATATAGAGTATGCCTCTTCTTATAAATACCTAGGAATAACATTGGATGAACACTTAAACTTTGAAAACTGTGCCACAATACTTTCGCAATCTGGAAGTCGCGCCATGGGGGCTGTCATTTCAAAAATACATTCTTATAAAACAATAAGCTTTAAAACATATGAAAAACTGTATGAAAGTTGTGTTGTTCCTATAACTGATTATTGCTCTGGTGTTTGGGGATTCAAACAATTTGACAAGATTGATCAAACACAAAACCGAGCAATACGTTATTTCTTTGGACTCCACAGGTTTGCGCCTAAGGTGGCCTATAATGGCGATATAGGTTGGACACCATGCTTTATACGACGATGGACCAATATGGTGAAGTTGTGGAACAATCTTGTATCAATGAGGTCTGATCGTTTAATTAAAGATGTGTTCGAAGCTGATTATAATAACGAAAATGGGAACTGGTGCTCCAAAGTAAAATCCGTGTTCAATAGTGTTCAAATGGGTCACATTTTCAGTAACAAACAACAATGTAATATAAAAGAAATAGAACAAAAACTTATTAATAACTACTCAAATGACTGGTCGAGCGAAATAAAATCTGTCTCCAAACTTCGAACGTACACCAAATTTAAAGATACATTTAGTACAGAGACTTATGTCACCACCATTCTTAGCAAAGTTGAAAGATCACATTTAGCCCAGTTCAGGTGTGGTATTCTACCCCTGAGAATTGAGACTGGCCGTTATACTAGTCAAAAGATCGAGGATAGATTGTGTGTAATGTGTCATTCTGGAAGTATCGAAGATGAGTGGCACTTCCTTCTTCACTATAATAAAAATTTCTTCTTCTTCTTCTTCTTAAAAATGTGCAACTCTCATCTATACATTTCATTTTGGGATTGGTACATTAACTTTGTCAGTAGTCGAGTTCCATCTAAATTTTTATCAACGAGACTGAATCAATTTATGCCATTCTCACTAAGGAATGTACATACTCAGGCAGAGTTATTGTGCAAAATTGTATACATTTTCAAACAGAGATTAAGCTAATCATTGAAACAAGCTGTACATTTTTTTTTTTTTTTTTTTTTTTTTTTTTAAATTGCTGTCAAATACTGCCATTAGTTATAAAATGTTATTTTCTTAAGCCAAAATAGGGGTGTTCTTACGGACCATGGCAATTCTTCTTTCAACACCAGTCTTTAAGGTAAACAAAGCATGTGTTTCATAGTGACAATGTTTATCAACTATATATTTACATAAATATTACACGTTTTGGTACCTAAATGCAACTATAATTATTTTCTAATATATTACCCAATGATTTATGTACAAAACCCCCCCCAAAAAAACAATGAATATATATCAGTTATCATTGAAAGTAAAGAATTAAAAGTGTTATGATTTGTAGTCTCGGACAACTAAACCTGGTACATTTTAGACGTCTTGGTAACCATGACTATGTTGGGAGGTTTTCTACCATACACCATCTTGAAAATTAATGTTATTTTGTAAGACATGTAGATAGATATTGTTATGTTTCACAATGTGAAACGTTTGTTGTAACTTCCATACTCATGCCTGTACATGTAGTTGTGAATAAACTGTTATTATTATTATTATTCAAGGTACAATAATAGGAATTCTGCATTGATGCTGTTCTTGTTCTAAAGTCATGATACTTTTGGGGTTCAATAATTGTTAGATTTTAAATTGTTCATTTAAACATTTAGAATGCAAATTCGTTAATCTCCAAAAATTTTCATGATTTCATTAGATCATGTTTTACTGTTATAATTTACTGATAAGGTGATAGTTTTACTTTCATGTTGTTGATTTTTTAAATAATAGATTTGAGGTAAATATTATAATACCTTGGTAAGATTTTAGAAAAAGATTTGAGGGTAATACTATTGTAACACACTGATTTTATATTTGTAGAATAGATTCTGAATGTTATTGTTATACTATAAAAATTCATTTAAATATTATAATGTAAATGTTACATGTATAAGAATTTGAATAGATAATTTTATTATTGTTAAATTTTTCATGAACTTTCCTTTGGACATTTGTATTTTGTTGCTACCCATTATTTGATACATCCATGGAAATTTTCATTTTTTACTTGCTGGAAATTTGTGTTTGCCTGTCTTAGAGAACTTGACAAATATTTTGGAGAGTTATTTCCCTTGTTAGTAAGGGTAACAGATTCTTTTTCTTTTTTTTTTAAAGTCTTCATTTTTCCATGTACAAATGTTCATTATTATTAATGAAGAATTATGTAAAGAGCTTTGTTTTTGTTGAAATATACCACCAAACTGCTTGACAGCCAAAGAATATTTTCAATCTCTAAACCTCCAATTGTAATAGCAAACCTGCTCTTGATCAAATATTTTAAAAATATGGATTTGTGGTTGACAGGTTTTTTTTAAGGCAATTGTTAGCTTTACTTACTGACAGTAATCTCCAATTTCCAGTATTTTCAGGTCTTTTTATTATATCTTAAACTATCATGTAAAAGCATTTTGAGGAATTATATCTTGTTTTGAATAATTAAAAAATTCTGTTTTTAAACTTAAGTAATTAATGTCTTTTTGGTGCTTATCATACCATAAGTTTTTTACATGTTCGTAAAAATATATTTATGGTGTGTCGTAATTTTTACGTACATTAGTTGGCAACCTAGCTGCCAGCCATTTGTCTGTAAATTTTACGGTAAAATTTTTACTGTGATATAGTCGTTTGGATGGCATAAAAAAAACCGAGGCCCCTTGTCCGGAATCGAAATGATGTGGGAGTTAGGGTGGCTCAGTGAGTAGGACGTTTGCTCTCTAGTCTCTAACATCATTAAAGTTTGGAGCCACGGTGGCTAAGTGGGTAAGATGCTGGCTTACTAAACTGGAGGTCACATGTTCGATCTCTGCATTGGCCAAGAAAGTTCATCAGGGTTTTCTGATGTCGTTTCCCCTTGTCAGTGGTGCAGGGCGGAGGGCTTAGCAAGGACAGCTTAGTTGTTCGGATGGGTCGAAAAAACCGAGGCTGTAAATTGGCATGCACGTAACTGGAAGTTTGAATTCAATATAAGCCTAGGCCTTTGTACCGCTGCCCGGGCACAATTTTCCTCATAGCACACTGTATGGCTTATGCCCGTCTTCATTAGCAAGGACAGCTTAGTTGTCGGATGGGTCGAAAAAAACGAGGCTGTAAATTGGCATGCACGTAACTGGAAGTTTGAATTCGATATAAGCCTAGGCCTTGGTGCCGCTGCCCGGGCACAATTTTCCTCATAGCACACTGTATGGCGTATGCCCGTCTTCATTAGCCCAGTCGGAGCAGAACAGTACGACGTTAAACCCTATTTCATTTCATTTCATCAAAGTTTATCTCAAATTTTCTGGCGGGGTTTACCAATGTCAGTTGTGAAAGAGAGAAATGGGGTTTAACGTCCACTCGACACAAACTAGGTCATTTCGGGACTAACATAGGGGTCTTTAGCTATGGGAGGAAACCGGAGAAAACCCACGAGGTTGGACAGGCGACCCTACTCCTTGTCACGTACAACCGGGGATTCGAAACCACGCCAGTTGACTCAATGACAGGCCGTATGATATAGCTAACCATTCGGCCATCCAACCCCCCAGTTGTGAAGAAAGGATGGGATAAAAAAGACCGAAGTTCTGTGTCCGAATTTGAAATGAAGTAGGGGCTGCTGTGGCTCAGTGCGTAGTCAGGACTTTTCTGGCAAGGGATCCCCTTGTCAGTGGTGTAGGACGGAAGGCATAGGTACAGCATGTTGTTCGGATGGCATGAAAAACCGAGGTCCCGTGTACACATTGGCGTGGTGATGTGTGGGGCGCTGAGGGAGGGACTCTAGTTTCGATCCGCCCCTATATGTGACAAGGAGTAGGGTCGTCTGTCCAACCTTGTGGGTTTTCTTCAGGTCCTCCATCCCCCCACCCCCACTAAAAAAAACTGTTAATTGCTTGATTTGTAGAGTGGACGTTCAACCCCATCCCCCCCCTCCCCTCTCATTTCATTTCGAACGTCAATAAAAACCGATAACAATTGTTACCTTTGTATTAGAAAATAAGGTTTTAAAACACATTAATACATAATATAAGTACTAGACAAAAAATAATACAAGTCATTACTGTACACACACTAAAATGTCGCACACTAGAGCACGCAGAAAAGGGTACCTTCATCAAAAAGTATTCAAACCAGCTTTGGTGACAGCATACTTAATATTTCACAGAATCAAGGGATGAATAAACGGATGAATAAGTTATGAACATATCAATGTTTATTACCTTTCTATGATGCATTATCAAATTACTCGTAGGAGACCCGGCTTTACACGTGCCCAAACTCGCCCGGAGTCTAAATTCGCCCTTTGTCCAAGTGCGCCCGTAGCCCAAATTTGCCAGTGGCCCATATTCACCCAATGCTCAAATTCGCGCGGAACCAAAATTCGAACATCCATACATCCATACCTACATACATACACAACTGGATTTTATTGATATAGATATCACCGCAAAGTTCTCATGACCCGGATTCGGGACAAACCGAAGGGTACGTTCAGGCTGCATCAAACCCACCTAAATGAGCCTTGGTCAACTTGGTGGCAAAATGTTATTTATTTCACAGAATCAACTACCAGACTTCACACTTTCAGGACCCGGAAAAACCCACGTGGTTCGACAGGCGACCTATCCCTTGACACGTTCCAGCGGGGAATCGATACCCCGCCAGTTGATTCAATGACAGTCCTTATGAACAAATGCGAACGCGTTAACCATTCGGCCACTAAAACCCATTCTGTTCTTCACCAACTGAGCTAATGAAAGCGAATATACGTCATGCAGTGTGCTACGAGGGCCTACTCTTATTTCGAATTCTAACGGTAAAGGGTTCTTGTACCTGGACACCAATGAGCGTGAAAGAGAGAAAGAGAGGCACAAACCAGGTCATTCCGGGACTAACAATTTTATTTCAATAATTTGCTTGCGTTTAGGGGTCTTTAACAGTGGGGGAAACCCAGAGAAAACCCACACGTTTGGACAGATGATCCTAATCATTGTCACGTTCAAGCTTCGAATCGAAACCGAGCCACTTGACAGACGCCAATGTGTAAACGGGACCCCGTTTTTTTTTTTTTTGTCCCATCTGAACATAGAACTAGAATACTAACGGGAACGCCCACTCGGTGACGTATAACGGTGATGACACAATTATGCTGTACATCGCATGCGCGAAGTCAATAAGGCACAAGTAACTTCCGGCCGTATGTCAACATGGCAGAAGCGTACGACGCCCTGGAATTTCAAGAACTTGACGGTGTAATAGATGTAAGTTATTCATAATTTTAATGAGTTTTTTTAAAATTAGTTATATAACATACCATCGGGAGTATAAACCATTTATTTTCGGACATTAAATTATCCGAACACACGTTTGTGTATCATTTTCTACTACATATTATAAAATTATTATTAATAAATTATGATGACATTCACATTTTATTTAGGACTTGTTATTATTTTTATTTATTGTTTTGTGTATATTGTTGTTAGCCTTATGGCATGTCCGTGCCAGTTTTGGCTGGTTTCCCAGTGCCCTTTTCCTGTTTATAACGAGGGGTTTTACATAGGCTAAGTCTGTTCCCCAATCCCATTCAGACATCCTGAATAAAAATATTGTTTATAAAAAAAAAATGTTTATTCTTTACTACAGCTTTTCTTTGCTAAAGATTTGTTTGAGACATCTCAACCTGTCGTTCCAGTAGCATCCGTAAGTTTTCTACATATACAACATACATACATATAGCCACATAGTGTTCGTAGCAAATGGGCAAGTTTTGAAACTCATTATAGTCTCGATCATGTCTATATATTTTTTTTCTTCTCAAACGATCAAATTGCTTTGGAAATGAAATGATATGGGGTTTAACGTCCTACTGTTCTGCGCTCCTATGCTGGGCTAATGAAGACGGGCATACGCCATAAGGTGTGATTTAAGGGAAATTTTGCCCGGGCAGCGGCACTATCACCTGTTCTTATATCGAATTCCAACTGCCAAGGGATCTTTTACGTGCATTCCAATGTATACAGGTGACCTCGGGTTTTCGTATCATCCGAAGGATTAGACAGCTGTCCTTGTCAGGCCCTCCGTACTGCATCACTTTCTCGGCCAATGCAGGGATCGAACACTCGACCTCCAGGCTAGCGAGCCAGCGTCTTACCCACTTAGCCACGTGATCCCAAATTGCTTTGGAACAATTTCTTTTATTTTGTATAATATTTACTTTAAAGGGACAATAACACTCTTGCTGGCTTGAAAGCTCCAGAAAATAAATAATATCTCTATCTAAGTACTAGATGTTTAAGTGTCCCACCTGTTGTGTAAATTATCCATTACATCCTATTTTACTTGTCCAGAGGGTTCGAAAATATTTTTAAATCGAAGTTTCATTTGAAAAGGTTTACGTTAGACGTTTCAAACCATTATGTTGAATTTTTCAAATTTTTTAAATAAGGTGTGTTAAGATGAAATTTGTATCATCAATTAATTGAAATATTCTAAAATAGTTAAATTTGTTGACCAGAATAAAGATTGGGACATATTATTCAGTTACAACAAGAGTGGTATTGAGCCTTTAAAGAACTGTATTAATTTGGTATCAAGCTCGTAATTAGATAAAATTGTGAGGGAAATTATAACCTCCAACCCTGTCTTTGGTTGTGTACAGATTTACACTGGTAATTTTAATTCATAGCTATTGATTTTGTTTGGTTTTTATTTACGTTGTTTTCATTGTTATTTATTTTCTTTTTAAGATTCAAACTAATCCAGTTTAATTTTATGGGAAAGTTCAAGTAGTGGTTATATGAAAAATGATCTGATGTTCACATGATCCCAAGGGTTTGCCGAACCTCAATCGAGTTTAACCCCAACAAGGAATATTATACATCAAAACTGTTCATCTGCCTGTGCATTTTCTAGTATAAGTTTATCATCATTTTGAACAATTGGTTAAATTACTATTCAAGATAATTAATTTAAAAAACAAGAACAACAATATGTGGTTGGAATGATCCAAGGCTCTGTTCAAAGATATTTTATTCACATGACAGTGATGCTTGTTAAATAAAACTTGTGAATTTAACAGATAATGACCATTGATAAACACTAAAGGCAAATAGAAATGCACAAAAAAATCCATAAGCTTATGATAATAATGATTAAACATACATTATGCAAGAGCTAAATCTGCCTATTGCAGGTTTTCTTTAGGCCTGAAATGTTTTTCTAAATTATTAATTAGACATTAATTAACTTATCCAGGCCCTAATCAACTCTCAATAGCATCGGATTTCTCCAATATTAAATAGATTAGAACAGTTCAGCCATATTTTGATTTAAGCTAAAAATGGAGGAGTGAGACTTTACTTCGAACAACCAGTATGATGGTTGAAATTATTGCACACGTCTTGTCAAACCTTCAAAGGCCTTCAAAGGCTAATATCTTCGCTCGCAATAGAGTAATTTGAATGAAATTTTCAAATTATTCATTTTACATTATTTATCTTCGAACTATTATAGCAAGAATGGCTAGCTCTTTATCAAAATCTTACATAATGTATATTTAAGAATAATTTAATACATTTATAAAGCTCACACATTACAAGTAGTGCACCTGTATAAAATTTGTATAAATTTTGTTATCATTGTTAATATTTTATACTGAGATGCAATAAAAATAATACATCACTTTTATAAATGGATGAATGTAAATCTTGTTTAGAAGTGAATCCAGGTTTAACACCCTACTTACTACTTTTCAGCTCAATTTTGTTTTAAAGATTTGCTTTAATCTTGCAATTAAGGATGTAACAACATCATATTACGATAACATGTGAGAATGTTTTGAAGATTGTGTAAACCCACCCCGAACAATTCTCAATCAAAAAAATTAAACCCAACAGAATCAGTATGTTGATTTTTCTGGTACACGTGGGGTATATAATGCAGCTTTTAAAAAGCTAGGTTTTGTGCAACTGTGGAAGGTGCAAAGTTATGCCACGTCATCTCAGAGGTGCTATTTCATTGCGTCTCGATATATTTTGTTTACAATTATCAACCTGGCCCCAAGTTCACAAAGCATTCCCAGACTTAAGAATTTGCTCAACTTTCAATCACTGTTTTTGAGAAATATCTTTGATCCAGAAACACAAAACTTTGCACATAGTTTCTTATTGATATATTTACATTAAAACAACAATAGTTAGTAAAGTGCTATATTTAAGTTAAAATAAGACAAACAATTTTGAGTAAAACCTTAACTTAAGACTGAGAATGCTTTGTGAACTTGGGGCCTTGTTTTCTTTTCATTACTTATTATCTACAATACAGTAATAACAAGAAATAAAAAATCTGTAGAACACTGCTGATTAAGTTCTAGATTTAATCCTAGATTCAATCACATTTATATTTTTATACTTCCAATATCGATATTAATTCCAATAGAGCCAGGAAATGTTTAGTTTAATTATACACTTTCTATTTTGTTGTATGAAATTATCTGTATAATCTGTGTTTTTGTTACTTTCATTGTGTGAAATGCTTGCAGCAAAGTGCTGTAAATAAAATACCTGACATCACTGATCACAGTTTAACTCTTTTACTTCTCATTTGACCTCAAATCTATGTGGAGTGGAGTCAGTTGGAAGAAATAAATCAAAATGGAGTGAAATCTACATTTTAATCAAATTCGTACCACATGATTATATTCTACCACTTTTTGCTCGTTTATATGGCAACTATATATTATTGCTAAGCTATTTTTGAATTGTAAATTACATTTACAAGTATGTAAATATTGATTCTTTGAATTATATATTGTCAATCAAAATCTGAATATGCAATGTGCTATGTAGCCATATATGTGAAATAAACTATTATTATTGCTATTTACTTTCTCTGTAAATCTCTGTTAATCTGTCGACAACTTAAACAAATTTCTTTTTGAGTGTCCTCAACAAAACTATTACATACAGAAGCAAGTACACAGCTTTCGTAATTTATATGTTGACTTATTTGTGTTCATGAAAAGATCAACCTGTCTAATATATATTACAGTTGTAGGCTGACATTGAGAATAAGACTGTAAATGTTTTGATGTTATGCCCCTACATATCTTCATATTCTCAACAGTTCTTATAAGTAAATCTATAGATGTAACTTTAATTTGAACAGGAAACAAAAATTATTATATTGTACTTCACAATTCAAGTCCTTGTCAATGGTTAAATGGTATGTTACACTTTTATCTTCAGTTTTAAACAGATAGATATAATCACTTGAAGACTGACATAGCCAACAAAGCAGGCATTTGACATAAAAATGATTTCTGCAACATCTGAAAGGTTACTTCGTTCATATGTAAACATTGAGTTTCCTCGGTTTTCCTTGGACCCTGAATAAAATAGACAAAATCATAACATTCAATTAAAACAAGAAGAATTGGATTCTCATACATGTATTCATAATTTTCTCGGTTTCTGAATAAAATCGAAAAAATTACAAAAGTAAATATAAAGAAGAATCGGATATTCATACAAGTATTTATAAATAAAATTATGGGAGATTACAGAAGGAGCTAGCAGTTCTCATTATAATAGTTAAAAACTAGATAATATAAAGGGAATTTGCTGAAAATTTCAGTCAAATTGATCCACCCTGAACCGAGAATTTAGTGATTGAATTTTGGGCCTAGCCTCGATCATCATTACTAAGCTCGGTACGATAAAAAAAAAACATGGTCTCGATTATCCATTTTTTGATTTAATCAGAAGTAGCAGACTGGGCTCTAATCCAGTATATATCACAGGCTAGCGATGCCATCGAGCGTTGATTATGGTCTGGATAAGTTAATTAATGTCTAATTAATAATTTAGATAACATTAAAGGCCTAAAGAAAGACCTGCAATTGACAGATTTAGCTCTTGCATAATGTCTGTTTAATATTGATGAATTAAATGTTCATATACTGATCTTTTATAAGGAAACATCGAATGTTCATATTCATAATTAAGTTAACAGAAATTTAAGTTACCGGTGACTTCCTTGGATTCAATTTCTTTGTTGTTACGCTTTTCTGTAGAAGAATTAAGGTTGATAGTCTCCCTAACCCTTCTTTTAATCTTCGATATGTGGACCCAGAATTTTTGTAAACATCTGAAATATTCATAAAATCAAAATAAAAAGGTTCCTACATACAAAACAAAAGGTTCAGATATAATTATTTTTTTTCCATGCTTGTTGATTATTCATACCGGGAACAAGATTATTTCGGAATTTAAAAATAAAAGGATTTGACAGGTCAAGGTCAGTCATAAATAAATATACAATTTTAATTTTTATGGAGCTGCTCAGTTAAAACTTTGACCTTTAAAAAAAAAATAATAATTAGTAATTCATAAAATTAAAGTAAAAGAAGATTGTTGAGAGAGAATCGTCATGCTGTCACACACTCATCGGGTGTAGTAATCGTCAATTTCATAACAAATTGAAAGTAGACTAGGCCTAGCTACGGCACTAATGTAAACAAACCTATATGCATACAACTTTGATGAGAGAAAGGGTAAAATCTAACGGGCAAACATGAAAATACAGACATTCAGCTAGTATGGGTTTAACTTAACTTCATTGTTTCATTGTAGGTTGTCAGGGTGGACTGCCAACTAGAATCTACATAATTAATTTCTTTTGAGTTTTCACTTACTTTTTCAACGAAATAATCCGGCTCTACGTGTCTTGAACATATTGTCATGGTCTTGTCATTTATCGGGTCTGATCTGGTAGACTGTATGATACGTAATGATTCTCTCTCCACTCTATGTTTTTTTGGGTAAGCGATAGAATGATCAACCCCGATTTCTTTTATTGCAGGCGGAACATCCGAACAAAACACAATTCGCGCCAGGCATTTTGTTAGTGCGAGCAGAAACCGGAAGTACGCTGTGCCCGATATCAGCGTCAGAAGCCCGCCGTCACATAAGGTAGTGACGTCACACGGTGGGCGTTCCCGTTAGTATTCTAGTTCTATGATCTGAACGACTACACGTTATCCGTTGCCAGGCCCTCCGTCCTCCATCCTACACTACTGACAAGGGAGGACATCTCCAGAAAAATCCCGATGCACTTTGATGAAGTTAGAGAGCAAATGTCCTATACTCACTGAGCCACTGTTGCCCCCACTTCATTTCGATTTCGGACAAGGAACCTCGTTTTTTATTTATACCATTCAAACGACTATACCACTGACAAGCAGGAACCCCGACCGAAAAATCCAGGAGAACTTTGATGAAGTAAGAGAGCAAACTTCCTACTCACTGAGTTATCGTAGCTCACACTTCATTTAAATTCCGGACACGGGATCTCGGTTATTTGTATTCCATCCGAACGACTATACGTTGTCCCTTCTCAGGCCCTCCGTCCTAGGGTGGACATCGCCAGAAAAATCACGATAAACTTTGATAAAGTTAGAAAGCAAACGTCTGGGCCACCGTAGAGCCAACTTTATTTTGATTCCGGGCACAGGACCTCGCTTTTTTAATCCCATTCGAACGACTATTCGTTGTCCCTTGTCAGGCTCTACATCCTACTGCACTGACAAGTCCATGCATCAAAAAACCCGATAAGGGAATTATTGAAGTTAGAGAGCAAAGAAAGATTCGACTGAAGACTTAAAATCGATTACAGAATACAATACTATCTGTGCAAGAAGTGATAAAAATTGTTTAGAACTATTAAATTTTCTAGAACTTCAAACATTTCCGTTTATTATAACCCATGTCCAAATATAAATGCCGATACGGTTGTCAGTGGACATGCGTATAAACTGCACTTCCGAGGCGAGAAGACGAGAAGTCGAGATTGTGACGAAGCGAAGGAGCGAGAAGACGAGAAGACGAGATTAACTCAAAGGCGAGGGAGCGAGAACACGAGGTTTTTCAAAGGCGAGAAGTCGAGGGCGAGAGTGCGAGAACACGAGGTTTTTCAAAGGCGAGCTGGAGCGAGAAGTCGAGGGACGAGAACATGAGAAGTCGAGGTGAAAGTAATCTCGTGTTCTCGGGGCGAGATCCTCGTATTCTCGCCCTATTTCCTCGTGTTCTCGTCTTCTCGCCCTCGACTTCTCGTCTTCTCGCCCTCTGTGTAGTCATTGAACAATTAAATATTCGACGTGAATTTCAAATGGAGTTATGATATAAGTTGTTTGTGTATAGAAATGGTTATTATAATTATATATAGCCAATAATGAATATAACGACAAATTACTGGCACTATTTGTATTTCTGTGCTTATATAGAGATAGTTTGGGAAATCAAATATCATCCAAATTACCGGTAAATGGGCTAAATGCTTGGGTCGTCTTCATCTGTCACGTGTATGGTGGCCCATGGTCGCAATAGCGTTTTTGGGGCTATTTTTGGTATTTCATTTAAAATAAAAATATTAGTACAAAAAAAAAAGAAACAATTTTTTTTTTTTTTTACAAAATAAAAAAAATAATCTTTTCAAATTTTAAAAAAAAAAACTTTTACAAATTTAAAAAAAAAAATCTAAATATGTAAAAAAAAATAATATAATATATTTAAAAAAAAATAAAAAAGAAATAATATTAAAAAAAAATTAAATGAAAAAAAAAAAAAAAATTGAAAAAGAAAAGATAAAAAATAATTCCCGACGTGGCCCATCGTCGCAATAGTGTCTTGAGTATCCAGACCCAGTATACAGCTATCATTAGACTAGAGCGACCAGAAACATTTTGTGGCCCATTGTTGCAGTAGTATCTCGATTATCATGTGTGGGATCTATGAAGAACGTATAAACTCGAACGACAAGAAACGAGTCTGTAGTCAACATAATTGTAGATACTTCAATTTTGATTGGCTAAGCACTAAAATAAATCTAATATTATCTATTATCCAATCAAATACTAAAATTTGAATTTTATCTTAGTAAAACAGGCCCCAGACGAAACCACGTAGGCTATCATGCTCTATTTTGTCTTTGAAATTGATGTTGTGCGCCATCGCACTTTCGCACCTGTGGTCGTAGCGGGGGACTAGCAATGACCTCAGGGAGAGCAGGGGTTTCACAAAAACTAAAGCTAAAATCACTAACATAGATTTTAAAATCAAAGTGAAATTTTAAATTTATGCGTTTCACGAAGATCGATTTTATTTAATTTTAACTCATAATTTAATGTTAATAGATTTTAGTTAAAATTACTTGTGCCTTGATGTGAGGTAACTATAGACTCGTTTCTTGTCGCTCGAGTCTATACCATACGTTCTTCATAGATCCCACACAGGATAATCTGAACGACAGACCCACGATGTTTGACAGGTCACCCTACTCCTTGTCACGTACAACCGGGGATTCGAAATCACGCCAGTTGACTCAATGATGGGCTTTATGATATGACAGGCTTTATGATACAGCGCGCACGTGCTAACCACCCCCCCGGCTACTTAGTAGTAGGCCTATACTTCGAGGATTAGTTTCAAAGTTGTTAACTACTTTTGAAATTCGACCTCAGGGAGACCAAGTGTTTTAAAAACATTACATAAGCCTTTTGAGGGGAGAATAGGCCTTGCGGACTAGTAGCCCGAATGGTGTCATTAATTAAAGTCAATGACTTCAAACGTCATTATGTATGTAGGCCTAGTTCTAGTTAGACTGGATAAACTAGTCTAAATGACACTAGGCTTCTATAGTCTATTAATTATACATTTCTATTGACTTGCATATGTATAAATACATATCCAAGTCCATAGACGTCATGGGTGGCAAAATTGTGTTTCGCGTGTTGATGTCTGTTTACCTTTTTCCTTTCGGGAGGGGAGATAACTACAAACTCGTTTCTTGTCGCTCGGGTTATGCCACATAGGATAATCGAGACACTATAGCAACAATGGGCCACGAGGTATTTCTGGTCACTCGAGTCTAATGATAGCTGTCGTAGGCTGATTTTATACTGAGTCTGGATAATCAAGACACTATTACGACGATGGGCCACGTGCAGAATTCTTTTTTTGATTTTTTCTATTTCATTTATTTTTTTTTATACATTTTTTTAATCTTAAATATTTTATTAATTTTTTTTATATAGATTTTTTTTTTATTTTAAAAAGATTTTTTTTTTTTTCTTAAATTTTAAAAAGATTTTTTTTTCTTTTTAATTTAAAAAGATTTTTTTTTCTTTTTAATTTAAAAAGATTTTTTTTCTTTTTAATTTAAAAAGATTTTTTTTTTCTTTTTAATTTAAAAAGATTTTTTTTTTCTTAAATTTTAAACAGATTTTTTTTTTATTTTGTAAAACAAAAGAAAAAAAAATGTTTCTTTTTTTTTACTTTTATTTTTTATGATTATAAATGAAATACAAAAAATAACCCCAAAAACGCTATTGCGACCATGGGCCACCATACACGTGACTTTTTTAAACAAAGGACGCTTAAATTGGTCTACGGCATGATAAAGCATTTTAAATTCACTCGAAAATACTCCAATCACAAAAAGTCTAATCTATAAAAGTACAAGACGATAATTCGATGATTATGATTAGGCCAGTCACGTGTTAATTTGACCGTGATGTGTATATCAGAGATATACTGTACAGGTAGTGGTAAAAACTATGTGTAGTGCCTGTGACGTCACAAGCCAATCAACCAGATTAAGGTCGTAATTGAAAAATTGAAAAGCGTTTTTGCGTGTCGGATACTCAAACGTTAATAGCCGAATTAATTTTAATCAGATTGGCGTGAACTTGCCGTAAAGTGGATATAGTGACTATTGGCTACACGTAGCCTAGCGAAAAAAAAATTTGGCCATCTTATGTGGTCTTTAAATCGGATAAAAGTTGTGACCTAGAGGGACAAACAAGGGGAATAATTCAGGAAGTTAATATCTGATATGCGCGAATATCAAAAGGAACCAAGATCTTTATGGGTTATTAACAGGTATTTCAAGATTTTTATCAAAATCAGATTAAAATTGTGACCTCTCACCCGATGCAACTGAGGTACACCCTATTCAATAAGCCTCTATGATTCAGTTCCACCCGGTTCAACAGGGGGTATATTATAATATAATAATATTGAGGTTGGTCGATTAAGTAGGGTAGAATAATAATACCATAGCCTTATGTACATACACGCATTAGCCAATCAGATTTCGTGTCTACGTCTTCAGAGTCTAATGACGTAGGCTGGTAGTTTTAGGCGCGATACATCTTGGACCAGATTATTAGAGGAGTACTGGGCCCTGTTTCTCGAAATTTTAACTAAAGATAAAATCCAATTTTATTAGATACTTCAATTTTGATTGGCTAAGCACTAAAATCAATCTAATATTATACAATCAAATTACTAAAATTTGGATTTTATCTTAGTTAAAATTTCGTGAAACAGGCCCCAGTACGAATTTACCTTTACGATGTCGACGACGAAACAGGTTTCTTCCACCCCTACACTGCCACAGTAAGAGGTAAGATTCTAAATACTTTGCACAGGTCCAGATTCTAAAATAGAATGGAATAGACTTGACTAGGTCGTAACTAGGCTAGCCTCCTCAACTACGGTAGGCCTTTATTTTCATTTTTAACTAGGCTAGCCTAGATTTTATTTCTAGATTTAGCCTAGTGCCTTGCCTTCTTTGGCCTCAAATCCTAGATTATAAATCGGCTAGACCTTGTGACTGTGTACTTGGGCCTAGTCTGTTTGATTCATGTTTTCATATTACAATTCAGACAATTGCCAAGGCCTTGTTGACGTTGTGACTGGCTGAGGGCCGTAGGGCCACAAGGGCTAGGCCCAGTTCTTAAAATGTACGAACTTTACCACGATGTACAGCAATAATGGATTAGCAGATTATGCATGCATATTACATTTTTAAAATATTGCGCTGGGTTTTCATTTTATCAATTTGACAAGACTGCTATGCCGGTAGTCGATCCAAGGGTGGTAGCGAGTGCGCCCTCGTACCTCGTTTTGAATTTAAAAATAAAACTGACCTTGAACTAGAAAAAAAGGCTTAGGCCCAAGAAGCTTCGGTTAGATCTAAATATTAAGCCCACCTGCAATTTTCGTCAAGGTCACGAGATGTAAACAGGGCTAGCGCTAACCCTAGACCTAACCCTAACCCACATTCCCCAGGAACAAATTAAATCACGTTCTCTCTAGGGCTTAAGCCTGTGGTGTTTACATCTCATTACCATGACGAAACCTATCGGTGGCCTTGATATTTAGTAATTTACACCGGGGGTCACGGTGACTACGTGGGTAAGACGCTGGCTCGCTAGCCTGGAGGTCGGGTGTTCGATCCCTGCATTGGCCGAGAAAGTCCATCCCGATTTTCCGGTGTGGTTACCCTTGTCAGTGATGCAGGACGGAGGGCCTGGCAAGGACAGCTGTCTAGTCGTTCGGATGGAACGGACAACCGAGGTCCCGTGTACACATTGGCGTGCACGTAAAAGATCCCTTGACAGAGTAGGCCATAGTGCCGCTGTCTGGGGAAAATTTCCCTCATAGCACACTGTATGGCGTATGCCCGTCTTCATTAGCCCAGTTAGGAGCAGAACAGTAGGACGTTAAACCCCATTTCATTTCATTTCATTTCCTACGTTCCATAGGCCTATGCGTGAGTATTTGCTCTACAGAAGCGGCAATATCGGTCTCAATGCGAAGAATACAGTCGAATTCGGTTAGATTATAGATAATTTTAAATTAAAAGGGAACGGACATGGTACCACTTTTACGTTTTCATTTCACAGATCAACACAGCAGCTCACTGGTTTTGAAATTAATATTTAATAATAATAATAATATAAGATATAGTTTTCTTTCAAACGAGTCCCTGTAAATTTAAATACTTCGACTCTTCGAGAGTTTCTTTAAAAATAAAACGGCTCTTTAATGTCGTAGGGGGTGTACACAATGAAGACATTTCTATAGCTGACATACATTTATTATATTTTCCAGATACATCTATTTATTCCTAAATCAAGAACATGCTTCTTTCTTAGAAGTTTTGGGAGTTCTCTCCCCTTGATTCCCAAAAAGGGAAAATACTCTCATTTACAGCTAACATACGGACTAAGACTAGTAATTATTTCCCCTTATTTCATGATGGACGAATGTAGTGCGAGTTATAAATAGACAATTTTTCCCTTAATTTTTTTCTCCCCTCTTCCTGCATTTTTGGGTTGACTTTTTGGTCTAGAATTGGAGAAAAGGGATCAAATTTGCAATTTCATAGCAGTTTTGGGTAATACTGATGATATTACAGCGGAGGGATAGGGGGTGTAAAGTGTCTTTCTGCAGAGCAATCATTGTGTCGGAAGTGAGATTTCCACCCCTGTCAACTTCAAATCTGTGTAGCAAAAAATCTAAATGGTCAACCCCCTACAAAATTATGATGAGGAGATTGCCAAATGTTGTCCCCATTGTGCCTATAAAGATTGGAACCAACGGAATGTTGAGCAAAAAGCTACAGCCTGTGATGTTACAGTCATTTAACATTGAAGTCAATGGGCAAATAATTGCTAGTCTGAGTCCTGATGAAATAATGAAGCATGGCCGACTCGGGATGTTGATATTTTTTCAACGGCTTGTTTCCTGAAGTTTTGAATGGAAAGTGTCAGAAATGGTAAGAATACTGCTTTTTTATTGCCCAGCAGTAAGTTTTTTGACTATTTGGTATCAAAATAGCCATGATTGGGGGTATCCGTTGGTTGAGTGTGAATTTTGGGTTGTAAATGTGTAACATTTTGTTCACAATGATATCAAAACATGGTTAGGTCTAAATATTAAGGCCAACTCAACTGCAGATTTGGTCTAAAGTCACGAGATGTAAACAAGACTGACCCTAACCCTAACCCAAGACCCAGTCCTTACCCTAACCCTAACCCACAATCTTGTCAAAAAGCATGTAGCCTAGGCCTAAGCCAAGACCTAGTCCTGACCCTAGCCCAAACCCACAATTGTGTCAAAAAATCATGTGCCCTAACCCTAATTACATGTTGTGACCTTGAACCAAGTCTGCAGCTGGCCTTAACATTTAGACCTAACATGTTTTTGACATCATACAATGAAATGTTAACATGTACACTCCAAAATTCACACCTGTGTGACTTTTGATCAAACATGCAGTTGGCCTTAATATTTAGACCGAACCTTAAAACATGGCATCTACCTTTGAGATTGGCTTAGACTTATGTGACACTCAAGGTTTACTTTTTTACTGACTGTTAACTGGTTTCTTTTTGGAGGGCCAGTGACGGGCTGTTCGCTAGAAATAAAGAGGTTTATTTCTATTTCCAGTTGAAACCATATTTTTTTCTTATTTTCTCACTGTTTTTTATTGCATATTTATCCCCAGCCTCCTATCATTTCAGGTGCCCAGGTAATGTTTCATAGAGTGGAATGATTGACCTCAACACAAGTATTAAAAAAAAAAGAAGCAAAACAGGTGAGATAAATGTGCATTTCATACACTTTAAGAAGTACATCCAACCTGATCCCCGCTTCTGCTCACTAATAGTAATGGGCTGGAAATTTGGTACTGCACAGGCCTGTCTTCTCCCCTTGACATTTAACTGAATGACAGAATTCCACATTTTGACCATTTTCTGGATGTCAATGACCATTTCCCTGGATAGTATTCGCCCCAGAATTCTCATTCTCATCCAAATTTAACATTTCAGGTCTACATCTCAAAACCTGATCTCTTCCTGAACTGGCTTTAGGAGAACGATGATGCATATCAATTTCATCCCTGATCTCTATGACACCTGTGGTGGAAGTGGAGGGCAAATCGTAATCAGTTTGGGTTCCAGCCCCGAGGACCTTTGTAAACTTTGCTTTTTGGTGATGACTTAATTTCCGAGCTTGAAAAGGACGCTTGTGTGTTTATCATGGCCTCTCATATTGGAAGATAACATTAATGGCTTGTGTGTTGATCGACGGTTGTGCATATCTCTTGGTCAGGAAAGTTGTAGGCACCATCGCCATTGTAAATCATTTGACAGGCCCGAGTGAACGGGGCGACCTATGATTGGTCAGCAATGTATCAGATTCCATACCGGGGGGTGGGGATGAAAAAACTGTTGTAGTGTTACATAATCAGATTATTTCAACTTACTTATCCTGTGGAAATACAGCTATATAGGAGATATTTTGAAATTCATAGGCACTGCATGTTTCAACATTTTAGATTTGACCACAATTTGGCACTTGAAACTATGTTAACAGAGAAAAACTGTGTGGTTTTCGATGAAAGTGTTAAAAGTCTAATATTGCATCATGATTACTGTTTTAAAGTATTTTCGTGTTTGATTTATATTGAATTCATCTCATCTTTTTGAAGAATGCATTTATGTTCAAAAATAAAAATGTTCTGTGGAATTCAAAATTGATGTGCTTTTAAATTATCAGATTCCAAACTGGGGGTGGGGATGAAAAAGCTGTTGTAGTGTTACATAATCAGATTATTTCAACTTACTTATCCTATGGAAATACAGCTATATAGGAGATATTTTAAAATTGATAGGCACTGCATGTTTCAACATTTTAGATTTGACCACAATTTGGCACTTGAAACTACGTTAACAGAGAAAAACTGTGTGGTTTTCGATGAAAGTGTTAAAAAGTCTAATATTGCATCATGATTACTGTTTTAAAGTATTTTCGTGTTAGATTTATATTGAATTTATCTCATCTTTTTACAGAATGCATTTATGTTCAAAAATAAAAATATTCTGTTTAATTCAAAATTCATGTGCTTTTAAATTTCTGTCTGAAATTCCGCAGTTTTCTGATGTATTATAGTGTTTGCAGAATGCCGCACAGCTCATCTGAAAATGCATAGATTTTCATATTCTTTGGCCAGGGAATTGCATATATGTTTGTTTATTAGATAACAACAGATTTGTTTAAACTGCAGAAACATGTGAGGTATATAGGACTAAGACTAGTAATTATTTCCTCTTATTTCATGATGGACGAATGTAGTGCGAGTTATAAATAGACAATTTTTCCCTTAATTTTTTTCTCCCCTCTTCCTGCATTTTTGGGTTGACTTTTTGGTCTAGAATTGGAGAAAAGGGATCAAATTTGCAATTTCATAGCAGTTTTGGGTAATACTGATGATATTACAGCGGAGGGATAGGGGGTGTAAAGTGTCTTTCTGCAGAGCAATCATTGTGTCGGAAGTGAGATTTCCACCCCTGTCAACTTCAAATCTGTGTAGCAAAAAATCTAAATGGTCAACCCCCTACAAAATTATGATGAGGAGATTGCCAAATGTTGTCCCCATTGTGCCTATAAAGATTGGAACCAACGGAATGTTGAGCAAAAAGCTACAGCCTGTGATGTTACAGTCATTTAACATTGAAGTCAATGGGCAAATAATTGCTAGTCTGAGTCCATACATTTATACAGGAGTTATTCCCCATTAAGCATACTTTATAATGTATTGTGGAAGACTGTAAGGTCTAAGGTATATTACTGAACATCCCCCCGCGAAAAGAAAAACAATGCCATTGTTTTCAATAGACCTGACAGTCTTTAACAAGACATTCAAATATAAAAACAAAACTAAAAAACTGAATGCAACTAGAATAAAGTACCAAAACCAAGAAACAAGATGGTAAAATATACATCTTAAATCATAATAAACCTGATCTAAATAACAGGGGGCGGTTTAGCTTTAATGGCCTGTTTGGCCTTGGCATTAAGAGCCGAGTCGGTTACCCAAAAAGACTCGTGGGCAGCTTCACCCTTTAAATGTACAAGATATTCCGCTTTGTTATTTTTAACCCTTTGGCCGATAACTTTCCTAATCTTGTAAAATCCATCACTGTCGCTACCAATGGAACAGGAATTTAACCCACAATCAACATTACCACCACTTTCAGAACGATATCTTAAGGGTTTCTGATGGGTTCACAGGGATATGTGACCCTTTACATGATTGTTGAGACGGTGGTTCTGAAACACGTAAATTATGTGGAGGTGTCGTTTCGTTTTGATTAAATCTTTTAAGTACAGGTACTGGGATTCGAGACGGTGTTGTTGATTTTGGGCACATGAGTAACAACAGTACTAGGAAAATACGAGGAAGGATTGGGAATACGAACATAGGCCATTTTCAATCTATCCTTATGTACATTAGAGATAACTTTATTAGTAAGGGGGTCAATTATAATATCAACAATATGATCGCTATGCAGGGCCTTCACAACAAAGGGTCCCGTATAACGGGGCTGTAGTTTCTGACCAGTTCCAGTAGAAACAGTATTTAAATAGACATATCTCCCTTTTCTAAAGTCAAGGGATTGGATTTAGAATTAAAACGTTCACACATTTTAGCTTGATTTTGCAAAACACTAGACTGAAGTTGTTCTCGAATAATTTGAAGTTTTTGAACTTGTTTCTTTAAAAATGGCTTAATATCGGTAGAAGTGCGATCTATTACAGAAACTGAAGTGTTGGCACTCAAGGGAAAATGTGGACGTCTGGCAAAAACAACCTCAAATGGAGAATAACCAGTTGAAGAATTAACACTATTGTTAAAAGCAAACACAATAGAACTTAAAACATCCTGCCATGTTGTGCGATTATGAGAAACATATGGCGATAACCGTCCAGCTAATGTACGATGGGACCGCTCACAGGCTCCAAGACAGTGGTGAACGAAACTGGGGGAAAATTGTTGGGGCACCTGTAGCAGTTCACACAAAGACTTTGTGCACTGAGCAATAAACTCAGAGCCCCTATCACTAATTAAGGTATGACAGCCCTTATGAAAAAGTCCTATAGAAAAAGTACACGTTTCTATAGAAGTTTGTGGGATTCTATAGAATGCTGCAGGAAAACGAAATCATTCTGTATTTCAAAAACATGTACTAAAGTTTTGTGTAGGATTGGTAGATGAATATTTTCCAAGTGTAATTTCCTATAGAATTCTATAGAATACTGTAAGAAACTATTGGAAAAAAAATAAACCTGCAGATTCATTGGTGCTGCAATAGTTTTCTGTAGAACTAACTTGTAACCTCGAGTCAGTTGAGTAATCCTTCAGTTTTCTATAGCCTTTGTGCTAAAAACTATAGTTTGCTATAGAACTAACTTGTATTCTCATGTCAGCTGTGATTCCTATAGATTTGGTGGTAAAAACTATAGTTTTGTATAGAACTAACTTATTGTCTCAAGTCAGTAGTAAATTCCTATAGTTGTCTATGACATTCTGTTGAAAACTAAGAATTTATATGTATACTGTACTTAAACCATTTTAACAAATAGCCTACTATAGTTTCCTACATAATATTGTAGAAACAATGTTCTATACTACAGATTTCATAAATTGGCGATGTCTTTTATTCATACTATAGTTTCAATTGAATTTAGTGATTCACTTGTGTGAATAATGTAAACTTTTCCAACATAATTTTCCTGGATGCAGTTTTCCTTAATTTATTGTGATACCAAATGACAAACTAAAATAAGCTTACCACGAAAAATAAAATATAAAGTATAAAATAGTGTATATAATATGAATGAAATAGTGATACTTGTTGACACTCAAAGGAATTCCCCACCCCACCCTCCAAAAAATGCCAGTAAATGTAGATGTTCACAACGAAAATATCAGATAATAAATTATTCTTCAGAAGTCAATGAAATAAAGACACAGTTTATTTAGATTTTAATGACTATAGCAGATTCTGTACTCAGATTCTGTCAACCGTGAATACCTGTCGACAAATTATAATTAACAGCCAATGTACTCTCTTGAAATCTGTTTGGCCATTGGCTGAATTTAAAATTCAAAAAATCAATGTATAACAACTTTAGTATTAACAAGAAACTGAAGAGAATGGTGGTGTTTTTTTTCACAGAGTCGATTAAAGATAGAAAGATAAGTATACTTTATTACTTTCTTAACAATAATATTAAATTAATTTAAATAGATAAGATTTATGTGATTTTGTTATTTATTTAACTTTATTACCTATTCTTTTCCCTATATTTCAGTTTTACCATGGACCTTATAATACAATATATAGTCCATGGTTTTACCAAGAAAAGAACTTTTCATGGTTCCGGCTGGAGAATCATCAACAGAATTCAGATTAATCCATGAGAGAAAAAATGAGCTTATCAATTTAGAAGAATCCATGAGAGAAAAATAAGCTTATCAATTTAGAAGAAATCATGGGCCAACTATATTTATTCCCAAAATAAGATTTAATAACACAACAGTCTATAGAATTCTATAGTACCCATTCCTACAGAAAACTATAGTGGCCCAATTTCCAAACTACAGAATACTACAGTATTCAATCCTATACATAACTGTAGAATTTCCTACAGAAAGTGCAATAAAAAACCTATAGAATACTATATTATTTTCCTATAGAAATTTTGCCATAAATCTGTAGGAAAAACTATAGGATGTGCGCTACAGAAACTGTAGAATATTTGGGGCCGTTATTTCCTACAGGCCCCCAAAATTCTGTAGAATACTATACAATTTTATCCTATAGAACACGGGACACGCCCCCCAAAAAACTCTATAGATTTTCTATAGAATTCTACACTGCTATTCTGTAGGAATTTTTGCTAAGGGAGGTTCCAAACGTAGTAAATAATTGAAATAATGCTGTACTAACTGTCAAGGCATCAGAACTAGCGATAGGCACGGCATATAGGTATTTACTAAACATATCTATGGCAGTGAAAATATAAGAGTAGCCATTAGGTGTGACGGGTAAAGGTCCAAACAAGTCGATTTCCCAAACAAGAAAGGGGGCTTGAGGCGTAGGATATTCAATAATGCCACTTTTAGTGTGGGCTTTGGTAAGCTTGCGACGCTGACAATCATCACACGATTTCACATAATCATTAACAATTGAGCTCATTTTTGGAAAGTAGTATGTGTCTTTAAGACGATCAAGAGTGTCGTGAATACCGCCATGACCGCCTAAAGGAGAATCATGATAAAGTTCCAATAATTGCTTAATCAAAATGACCGGAACCACTAGTTGATATTTGTCTAATGTTTGAGCACGTTGTGATTTAGCTACTCTTGAATGAAATAAAACACCTTCAATTATAGCGTAATCTGTGGCTTCCAACAATAAACGCCGAGCTTGTTTCTGTGATGTCGGTAATATATTAGAAATTAAGTAGTCTATAATTGGTTTCGAAAACACGTCATTATTCTGTAGTTTTGCGATGTCTTGTAGTGAAAAATCGAAGTGATCCATAAGTTTTATGTTCTGAATTTCCTCAGCAAGACGATTGTTCTTGTCTTGTCAGTAGTAGAATCAGTCACCTGTTTGTCAGATTCAGTTTGATCACTGGTATGACCTGGATCATCACCAGGCGATATGGAAGTGGATCCAGGCACCCCCATCATACTCAATGTCCTGATAAACCACACAATTACACACAGGGGAGTCAGAGTCAAAATAGTTATCAAAAGTTAGGCCATTCGGTAAGATAATTTTCCCCGTTTGCTCAGGTATGTAAGGAAAATGTGGGTCATCCTCCGCTGGGCTAACTACTGTCGGAGAAGAACCTGGTGGACACCGGGACAACGCATCAGCGACACACATTTGTGCTGCAGGTTTATATGTTATCTCAAACGAAAATTGCTGAAGTATAGCTATCCATCGCTCATAAATGGCGCCACTCAATTTCTTTTCAAATAATGGTTTCAATGCCTGGTGATCACACTCA